TTTGACCCCTTACCTTCAGACAGTAAGAGAACTCTTACCGTAGTTGTGTTTTGTCCGCATTCGTGTTCATCAACTACTATTTTATTGTCTAGATGAATTTGGATCCTTCCGCTCAGAGAATGTGGTAATATGAAACGCCATAATTCAAGATTGTTGGACTACTGACCTGATGTATTTCTTTTTATAGAAACACACTGTATGACTTTTGTAACATTCTTATTTTGGCCTCATTTCAAATGTATATCAACTTTGCTAGGTCAGTGTCACTTCTATTGGTGTTTTCAACACGAAATTCATGACAAGTTCACACAAACACAGTTCAATTACATATTCTTTACCCAAATCGTTTTATAATCAGATCAAAGCTATTTGTATTGTTAAGGTAGACTTAAATCGAAAAGGAAACGGTAAGATGGAATGTAATGGTGTGGTGTTTGAATTAACTAATGATTCTTTTGTACTTGTTGAATGCTCGATTTCGAATTCCAAATACAATACATTCGTTTGTGCCTGTGTCTTCTTAATTCAATTGCGTTAATCCTGGAATTCCTAATTCATACGATAATTTGAATACTATATTGGCGTCGCGATGGAGCCTGCAATGGAAAAGTTAGATATTCATTCAACTTCAGAAGCTTTTGAAGATTACTTTGAAAGGTTCGAAATCTGGGCTATGACCAAGGAAGATGATGAGGATGTTAATATTGTGGCACACTTCCTCACATTCATTGGAAAAGAAGCATACAGCTTATTAAGAACTCTGGCTATGCCGGAAAAACCCATTTCGCTTTCTTATACAGCTCTCAAGGATCTACTGCTAGACTATGCTCAGTATACAAATTTCAAATGTCGTAAAGGAGGAAGATTTCGTAAAATGATTCATGAGGATATAAAAAAGTCCACTACATTACTACGTCATCTCAACCTAGTGCATACTCAAGGTTATGCAGACAATTCATTGAATTTGGATGCAGTTCACGAGGATGGGGACAAGTTTGGTCAGTGTTTGTCCTGTTGCAAGTTCCACTCTTCTAATTCATGTAAATTTCATAATTCTAAATGCTTCAAATGTCGTGATATTGGACAAGTTCAGTCAGTTTGTAATGCTAATGTTCATCTTACTGCAATTAATATTAAGTCTTGTAATTCTGATTCTACTGAGTCGAGTATTCATGATGATCATTTATCTTTATCAACGATTTCAAAAGACAGTGCAGAGTCATATGGCAGTTCAGAGTTAAATGAAATCCAGAATTCTTGTGAGACAACATTTCCTAATCAACCGATTTATCAGAATTCTCATGCTATTGTACCAAGTATGACTTTTCCTAATGATTCACATATTTCTAATGAAATTACTTGCAATTCTGAGGAAAATATGTTAAATGAACCTAATCATGATCGAAAACCTGATGTGGTTTGGATAGATGCTGATTTTTCTAACGATCCTACGCTCTGCAGTGACAGTCCTGATGAATTTCATGAGAATATTTCAGAAGAATCAAATCCTGATGTCATATCATATATTACCTATCCTCATAATGTATTTGATCTTCGTGAAAAACCTGCCCAATGCGAAGCACGAGTACTAAGTGACCTCGAGTTTTATTATATTTCGGATGATTTCATATCAACTGCTGTTTACTCTTATCACAAAAACAGTTCTAATGTTTACTCTAAACAATGTGAGATATATGTTTTAAATGAAGCCACATTATTCATAACTTGGGAGTATAAAGATCCAACATTATTTCGTGGGGGGGGATAGTGTTGAAAAATCTATGGTTCGAATTCTAGATATTAATGATTTCATTACAAAACCGACATGCTGGTTGTATACAATTCCAGGTGAGTCTGTTCCGATTTCGTTTGTTAATTCCAATACTAATGAGCACTTTCTAGATACTACAAAGTTTTTATCTTATACAATGTCGGACAGACTCAGGATGAACTTAACAAGAAGACGTACAACCGATTACAAACACTTATACTTCTATTTAAGCTGTGGCGGATGTGGTGTTTGAATTAACTAATGATTCTTTTGTACTTGTTGAATGCTCGATTTCGAATTCCAAATACAATACATTCGTTTGTGCTTGTGTCTTCTTAATTCAATTGCGTTAATCCTGGAATTCCTAATTCATACGATAATTTCAATACTATAAATGGTTAGAAAAACATCATGGGAATAATGACATATTTAATATCGCTAGGAAAATCTCAAATCCTATTTTCCCTCATTTTTTTGACAATAATGGTAGTTTCGACGTATGAGAAAACCCGAGGTACCTTCCAAACAATTCATACGTCCCCACTACCCTTTACTATTAAATGATCGGCTGATCTTACATCTGATGTAGAATTTTCACTGTGTCTAAAGATCACATTCGTTGATACATATAGTTACTCTATTACAATTACGGATGTTTTAAATATAATATTTCTTCCAGGGTTTCTAACTTATTTATCTGCCCTTATGTGAGGTTGTTTTCTAATCGTCCAGCTTATCTTGTTCGCACTAATCTCGTCCCAAATAGTACTTTTGAGATGTTACTCAGATTCTTCAACCAACGATTACAGTTATCCAGCAGGTCCTGACCCGAAAGCCTTGCTAACCAAAGTTACTGACTACCAATGGAGTGTACAATTAACATATTTCAAAATAGATATTATTACAAGTACACTTTGCCAGCAAATTATAACTAACACGAAAACTAGATCGTTTTCCTGCTGACTACTTCCAGCCACCTACCATATGAACATGCTACACGCAATGTTAAATCACGTAGACTAGTGGTCACATTGCAACTTGATTAAGAGAATTCGATCAGAACTGAAGAGTCAGTCAGTTACAACGTAGGACTAGGCACATATATGCATCGGTCCAAGTGGCCATACCTCACTAACACAACAAGATGGACACCCGATTCATAAAAGTAGTTAATTCAGAGGTGGTAATATATAAATGAAAGATTGCAATAAGGATATAGTACAGGAAAAAAGAAGTAGTTCGTAGAAAGAGAGATATGAAGTGATTTTAATCTCTTAGTTTAAGGGAAGACAGAGTGCATACACCGACGCCATTGTGATCGATCCTGAGCCATGTCACCAAGAGTCTCCAACCATTGGTTACGATAGTCATACGGACCCCAACCAAGTAGTCTGCATCTACCAACATGGCTCAGACTAGAAGTTAGTGACTTCAAGCACTGATACCACGTTTTGGTTTGGCCGCCCCTAACTTTCTTCCAACCATCTCCAACACCGGATAGCATTGCACGTCGTGGTATTCGGTGTTCGGGCATACGTAACATGTGGCCCAACCATCTCAGTCGATGAAGATTCACAACCTCATCAACTGATTTACCATCATCCCCTTATACCATGCGTCTAACCTCACTATTACTTACCCGGCGATCTCAGTAGATGCGAGCAATATTTCTAAGGCATCTGTGGTCAAATACTAGTAGCTTACGAGTGTCTTCTACTCTTAATGGCCATGTTTCGCAGCCGTAAATTAAAACAGAACGGACTGCCGCGCAGTATACTCGTCCTTTTATTGATAGACGGATATTTCACCTTCGCCAAAGGTGACGTAAGTTGGCAAAAGCCAAGCGAGATTTCCGAATCCGTGCTGAGATTTCACCAGACACCAACCCATTAGAGCTGATCAGACTTCCAAGATAAGTGAAGTTGTCAACGCGTTCGACTACTCCACTCTCTATCCTTAGTTCAGGTGTTGACGCAGACCAGTCCTGAAGCAGCAGCTTGCATTTAGAGGGAGAGAAGCGCATGTCCAACATTCTGGCATTGTTGCTTAGTGCTACCAAAAGACTCTGCATTTTATCAGCGTCTTCACCAAACAAGACTATGTCATCTGCGTATTCTAAGTCGATAAGTGGACCTCCTGGAAGGAGATCAATACCCGAGAATTCAGTAGACGATAACTAAGGAATTGTGAATATTTCAGTCCTATGGAAGTTCAATTATACCTTGAATTACATAATGGTAATATCACAGTCCGTGAAACTGGGTAATATGCACTCGAATTCTAAAGTCAACACAAATTCAATGAATATTGTAGATATTCCTTTCTGATGAATGATAACTACGGTGAAATCCAGGTAAATAGCTTCCTGAAAACTACCTCCAATCTGACTGACTTGATCAAGGTATATAGAAAACATTAATGTCGAAATTATTCATTTTTCCAACAAAAACAAAAACAATCAACTTAATGAATGTGACTTTCAGTATTGAAGCAAAGATACCATAATATCATAAGGCCTACAAATAAATTATTATTTAAAATCATGATACGATTAATTTATATAAAAATAAATAAGAAATCGTTAATTTCATTAAAAACAAATTACATAAAAATTGTTTGCTTTTGGTTAAAATCAGAAAACCATGTTATTTGAGTTATTTAAATAGAATTCTAAGGTGGGGGGGGGAATGAAATAGATTGACATTACTACTAAATGATCATAATAATATAACATTACTGATTACATAATACACATACACTAACGACTAACTTCTTAGTGTATGTTAGAGATAGAATTTAAATGAAAAAAATACAACCGGTACTATTAAAACGGAATTTAAAAGCAAAAATAGAATCATATTAAAATTACAATGTTCCTTCTTTGTTTGTTTTTTTTTCAAGTTGAATACATACTGCATTCAAGAAAGTTCCAAATAAGAAATTCAAGGAATAAAAAATTGTTTTAATCATCATCATCATCATCAGCAACAACAACAACAAGATTGATTATCAAATGTCAATATTTTGTCACCATATCGGATTAAGGATAAAATTTTTTTACAAAATATCAATATAACTAAGTGAAGATTTCTATGAAGAAAGAAAGAAAAAAGATCAAACCATTTGAATAGTTTCAATGCATAAAAAATAAACAAACAAAGAGATAGTCACTTCATGAATTGGTCAATTGATAAAATTTATTTATATTGGTAAAATACATTTGAGTTATTTAAGAATAATTGCTCACATTATTATTGATTATGATTTGTTGTTGAATAAGTGTTTTCCATACAAGTTTAATTTCTAATGTAGAACAATCAAATTTTAATGTTGTTCCATTTGTAAGTATTAATAAGAATGATAAAGCTGAAATGAATTTGCAAAGGAATATGTTAGTTTGAATAAATTTAGAATATTTGTTGTAGTCAATGAAGTAGAACTTAACCAAATCTATTAATAGCGCCAATCCACTAGAATAAAAATAGAGTGGTATTACTGCTTAACATACGTAGTTTTACGTTGAAGCTAAGCCAATCGAAAACTCTTTAACCTGACATATCCTATCCTGATGGATAGGCTGATCTATTCCTCTAATGAATTCAAAAATAGTTTTACAAAACAAGTGTGATATTTAGGAGGATAGGTCAAAGGGATCTAATGTATACAAAGTTACAATCAAGTTGCGTGTGCCAATACTCACACAGTCAGTCAGGTAATCAGTGGTAGCTGCTATTTGATCTTGAAGAGTCATGGGAAACACAAACGTTCAATGATCCGTCTTTTAAAGTAATGATACGTTTAGAATGACAGATAATTTGGTTAAGATTCAGCACTATTTACCTGACTCCACAATTCTGATAATTTTATATTGTTATCCCAACATCTATTGCTTAGTGAATGAAGTAACCAATTTACAAACGTTAGATGTAAAATTAAATCCTGACAAACCAAAACCGGAATAAGCTATTGGGTATTATTACTAGTATTTACGACAGAATCGAATAGTTCACTATTTTATCTTAGAACACCTATTAATTCAACCATGAATTCCAAATATAAACCCTAATATAGGGTCGAATGTAATACAATATTTCTGGATTTATAACTGAACAGACTGAAGCTATTGAAAAGTTGCTCGCTAGAAATATTATTTTTTTTCTGAATATTCTATGAAGATTTTTAAGCTAAACTTTGCTAACTTAACAGCTTATCTAAACATAAAGCTCTACGTTACTGTGAGCAAAATCGTGTAAAAGCAGACTATTGTGTTAATCTACAATCATGAGGTATATACTTTCTGAACGTGCAAAATAAGAAGTTTACAGTATCTGACTATCAACAGTTTCAAAACATTACGTAAATGTTCTTAAACAAGTAGTATACACGTAAAAATGGGATTAGACACAAAGTTGAATTATGGATATTGTCAGTAGATGTAAGCATGAAACTATCATTCCATACTTCAAAACGTTTAGTAAAATAACTTGACTAAAAAAACCGACTAACCTGATATGTCATAATCTTGAAAGCTGATTGAATTGAAAGTTATTGGTTTGTAGACTAAACATGATGGTCGACGAGTATCGAGAACATCTTTATCAGATACAACTAACAGAATGGCATCATTTAATAAATACGCGAAAACCTATGAGATTATACAAATAGAAATGCAACAAAAATATTAGTAAGATACATACTATTATATTTGATGGATTCATTATTTTAATAAAAAAAGGAACTAAAGCAGATCATTCTTTAATCAGGTACTAACAGGACAAAGATATATAGGAAGGTCGTCTAATTCATTTACCAGATACAAACCCGTATAAGTGACTTCGAATCAAAATTTAGGCAATAGATCTAGTGATGCAAACCAAATAGGGTGGAACTGGATTTGAAGTATCGGGCAGTATTTCAATCATTCTTTAGATGATAATATACTCACTCATAACGATTTTCTCATCATAAAAAAGGTTAATAATAACAGATTTGTTGTATATACATATCTGGATGAATATGGAAGGAAAGGATATTTAAAACTGACTCCCAAAACTTTAGCCCCCAAATGTCCTGGTACGTGCGATAGTGAGGAGAGTCCGCTCTCTCTCTCGAAATGCTCTCACATGGCCACGCGTATAAAGCCTCTGCCAGAGAAGTCCTACTCACTGCCTTCTCGCACCAGGGGTGTTGTTTACGAAATTGAGAGGACGAAAAGCGAATGTCCAGCGCTTTAACTGGGTTGGCAGACATGGAGTCCAACTGGGGGAGTTGGAAAACCCTGATTTCAAACCAATGGTGCATATGGGCTCCAGTATCTTGAAGGAACAAATGGTGAATGGACCAATCGTTGATCACCGGCTACCATGCGACTGAATCTCCTTACGATGCTCCACTGCCTTGTGGATCAGACCTTCATGTCGAAGGCTCCGTGTGTGGCCCCCTAAGAAAACCACCTGCTTCGGTTTGGGCACCCGGGCAGTATCACAGCCCTCACACATATCAAATGAGATCCGTGTGGCGCATATGTATTTGGTGCCTCCTTTTACCAATTTCGATTGTTACTATAACACAGTTCTGAAAATAACTCAAAGTAAGCAAACTCAACAAGGTAGTCTACAAATTTCTCCTTCAAGGGGGTGACAGAAGCATCACTGCTAAAATAACAAACACTTTGTTTTACCGACAGTGGAAATTCGTTTAGGAAAAGTAGCAAATACTCATCGAGACTTAATTTTGGTATCGATTAGATTTAAAATACTGGTTCATTGGAAGTCTGATCGGCCCTAATGGGTTGGTGTCTGACGAAATCTCATCACGGATTCGAAAAGCTCGTTTGGCTTTTGCCAACTTAAGTCACCTTTGGCGAAGGTGAAATATCCGTCTATCAATAAAAGGACGAGTATACTGCGCGGCAGTCCGTTCTGTTTTAATTTACGGCTGCGAAACATGGCCATTAAGAGTAGAAGACACTCGTAAGCTACTAGTATTTGACCACAGATGCCTTAGAAATATTGCTCGCATCTGCTGAGATCGCCGGGTAAGTAATAGTGAGGTTAGACGCAGGGTGTTAGGGAATCATGATGGTAAATCAGTTGATGAGGTTGTGAATCTTCATCGACTGAGATGGTTGGGTCACGTGTTACGTATGCCCGAACACCGAATACCACGACGTGCAATGCTAACCGGTGTTGGAGATGGTTGGAAGAAAGTTAGGGGCGGCCAAACCAAAACGTGGCATCAGTGCTTGAAGTCACTAACTTCTAGTCTGTGCCATGTTGGTAGATGCAGACCACTTGGTTGGGGTCCGTATGACTATCGTAACCAATGGTTGGAGACTCTTAGTGACATGGCTCAGAATCGATCACAATGGCGTCGGTGTTTGCACTCTGTCTTCCCTTAAACTAAGAGATTAAAATCGCTTCATATCTCTCTTTCTACGAACTACTTCTTTTTTCCTGTACTATATCCTTATTGCAATCTTTCATTTATATATTACCACCTCTGAATTAACTACTTTTATGAATCGGGTGTCCATCTTGTTGTGTTAGTGAGGCATGGCAACTTGGACCGATGCATATATGTGCCTAGTCCTACGTTGTAGCTGACTGACTGACTCATTGTACTAAACATGGCATATGAAATGCGTGAAACATTAAGTCATGAAGACCCACGATGGTTTGATTTCGTCAGTGATTACGTGTGTCAAATCTTTATACTCCATCAGACAATTGATATGATCAAAAATACCACAAACCAGCAGACGCAGTATTCTCGTTATTTCACCTTCGGATTTCGAAATTATTGCTCTCGGTTTTAAAACCCTCTCTTCAAATCCCCTGGCTGATACGATAATAAGATATCAATAAAAACGGAGAGAAATTTGTTCGCGATAATCAAATATCGGTCTTCTTTATGTTAAGACTGGATAAAACGAACGATCGCGTCTTAACACAATGTGATATTTATTCCATATAACATCCAGAATTTGTTATGTATTTGTTCAGTGAAAAGAAACCCAATAATCCACTGTATAATTATCAGTTGCCAGCGAAATATGTAATACGATGGAGGTATTTGCTGAATAGATTGTTGTAGCGCTTTTGAAGGGTGAATAAAATATTCATTGGCCGTAAATTTTGTCTTTTTCATTGCATTGTATAAATCTCCGTATTTCCTGTTATCAGAACCATGTTTTGGCGGTTACATCATCACACAATAAATATAAATCCTATAGCTCAGGAACATATATCTTATTGAACTACGAAATGTAGGAAAACAAACCTTGGCCAATGCACGAAAGGAATATGTTTTAAGGAAAAATAACATTCTTTCATACACATATTTTCTTTAGAGTGATTATTAGCTATATTTCAATAAATGTAAATCTTATTACATATCATACTGAATAAATGCAGAAATTATCGGAATACAATCGAACAATTATCATAAACTCTTGATCCTTTCCTATAAGTAAGCATTTTAAACAATATATAGTTCTACTGGATCATTATAATAAACAAACATGACTATTGTTGTATCCCGATAAGAATAATGAATGGTAATTTTTGGGATCCATTTATGGACCAATATTATGAGTATATTTTTATCGTATAATTGTTACGTAACTAAACTGTTCATATTCATGCCCCTCTTATTATGAGCTTTATTTTGACCTATGAACTATTACTGTACGATTTACCATTCATGAATTATTCCCTGTCTATTAATCGCTACCTCCCTCATTCACAGCCACATCTGACTAATTCTTGTACAAGTGTTATTTCATATTTAATGGTACGATGTGGTCTGTTTGATTGGTATATAAACTCAGTATGCTTGAAATATAATGATTCATATTGCAGAGGCTGAAACTAGTGTTCTGGACTTAACTGGCTGGGCTAGACAGGGGAGCAGGGCCAATCAGGACTCTAGGTCATACTTACGTGTTTTACGCGTCTTTGGTCCGATCGATAATTCACTGCCGTAAAGTAAAACAGAACGGACTGCCGCGCAGTATACTTGTCCTTTTACTGATAGACGGATATCTCACCTTCGCCAAAGGTGACTTAAGTTGGCAAAAGCCAAACGAGCTTTTCGAATCCGTGCTGAGATTTCGTCAGACACCAACCCATTAGGGCTGATCAGACTTTCAGGATAAGTGAAGTTGTCAATGCGTTCGACTACTTAACTCTCTATCCTTAGTTCAGATGTTGACGCAGACCAGTCCTGAAGCAACCGCTTACATTAAGAAGGAGAGAAGCGCATGTCCAACATTCTGGCATTGTTGCTTAGTGCTACCAAAAGACTCTGCATTTTATCAGCGCCTTCACCAAATAGGACTATATCATCTGCGTATTCTAAGTCGATAAGTGGACCTCACTGCGCTCCAATCTTCAGTCACAAGTTATAACAACTATGATATCAAATAATCAGTTATGATAGGAGTGGGAACGATAGGGAACTTACATGTATCACCTTAAATACTACATATTGCATAATAAATCAATTTCAATGATATAAATTAAGAAAAAAATAAACAAACTTACAGGACCACGATAAGATGTATCTTCTACTATTAAATCTGGATATTGTTTTGAGCATAAAGTACAAATGAGATAACTTTTATAAATAATATAATGATTTATTGATGACCATTCAGATGGATTAAATGTTAATAGTTCATTTGGATAAGGGAATAAAGGTGGTAAAATATACTTCATCAATTTGGCTAATTGTAGGTTTTCTTTAACATTGAATTTTTCTTGATGATTTACAGGAGAATTTTCACATTCAAATGACAGTGTTGATACTGTTGATCTATTATTATTATTACTATTACCATTATTATTATTGGTAGCAGTAGTAGTAGTAGTAATGCATGAAGTAGATGAATTATGTGATAATGACTGATAACTATTTTCGACAGATTGAGAATTTGATACGTGACTCATATCATTTAAAACAAAATTATTGACAATCAATTTATCATCTTTGGGTGTATGTGAATATGTTTGACAAGTTAATGCATCTGATAAAGCTATAGAAACAAAAATTTGAAGAAAAAAAACACCGTCTGTTACGGACTTGAAGAAACATAAAAATTAGATTGATTTCAATTGAGGTACCACTTAAAATTGAAAAAAAAACGTACTGGACAATTATTTTGTCACAGTATAGAAGTTTTTACCAATACATAGCCACAGCTTTACCAGAATTCTCAGGTATCGTGACGAATATTTGATCATTAAAACAACCGATTCGGTGTACAGAGTAATAATTTCAACTTCAAAGAATATAAAAGATTGATATGTTTACCAGTGATTTATTCGACTGCTGAGAGAATGGTAATATGAAAGTGATTTTTTCCTAATTGCCAGCGAAATGTAATCAGATTTTGAGAAGTAATTGTGTGACTTAATCAATTGGTTAAGGGTGCGTAACTGTATGACGTGGTAAACATGTGTTTAGACAGTAGGTTATTGATTAGTTGGTGTTAAACACTACCCAGCTCAATGTATACAAACCTGGCCCTGAATAAATCATATGAAAAGTGGCGTTTTCATGAATTAATTTCATTTGTTTTGGCAGTCAAGTAAATTCATATTACAAGTCTTTGTGTTTCACTTCACGTGATCGAAGTTGGGATTTCAGTACCAAGGATAAGTCAGACAAACATTCCACAGATATAACAAAACTTAAGACAATTCTGTGAGAAATGTTCAATATGAAATATATTTAAGTCACGAACCGCCTTTTAATAATCCTGATAAGTCCAAACAACAACTCTAAAATGCTCTCCAGCTCTCAACGGAGAAAGAACTTGTTGAAATATTGTATACTGTAATTTCTTATCGTAATAAACACTTAATTTTGAATAAACCCAATGTTATTACCATTACCATGATTGTTTGGATAATATGGCAGATAGCAGAGAGGAAATACAAGAGATCGGACTATGATTTTCTAAGTTAATTTTTTGTGCCAAATATTTTGGCAATTACTTTATTTAATCACATGTACTACAACTAAGGTCAAAGTGAGAAAAAAAACACCGCTGATAACAATACTACTGAAAAAGTAAAAGTAGTATATTATTCACAGACAAGTTTTTGAACCACGTGTAAGAAGTGTATCCACTATATTTCCTTGGTTTTGTATATATTTTTACTCTATACTTACTGTTCGGTGGTTGGCTAATATTCTCAAGGTCACTTAAAATTCGTTCATAGGTCGTCCACAAATTAGAGTCTCGCTATTCATGTAACCGAAACTGAGACATCCAGATTTTGCAGTAAACATGATATCATAAAACATTTGAGTGACGATTTTGTATAATTTCTTGGGAAACGTCAGTTTGCTTAAGATTACAGATTCTCCTTACCCACGAGAGTTAACTCATACGAAACCTATGTCTTTAGAGTATCTTGTCGACTACTTTCAACCATTTAACATCTTGACAGTTAAGTCGGAATAAAAAATGTTAAGGCCTATCTAGTTTAGAGAACAATATACAGCATTGGAGATTATTGAACTTTACTGACATCACAAATTGATTTACGTAAGACTATCACTAAATATCTGGCAGTAACGGATGTCCGTTTCGTCTGTGTCGGACTCCTTAGCGATGCACATCTACAATCCCGCACACGAGAATCAAGCCTAAGAAATTCGGTCTCGTATGCTCACTAGTAACTAGCATCTATGAGGAATTACCGAACTTGTAGTGAGAAACAGTAACTAGTGGAGCCCAACCGTGTAGCATATGACTGATCAACCCACTAAAGACAATGGAAGATGGTCGCGCAATATCGTAGATTGGTAGAAGTTAGACTTAAACACTATCGAAAACCGGCTCAATGAATTAGTGGTCAAGTATTCATGCATGAGACCCATCCTAAGTAAGATTTCAGTGTGGGGGGCTCATGAGTGAGCACTGCTGATTTCCATACTAGGACGAGAAAACCGTTTGGTACTTCCAGGTTTTCAATGATTGTCTAACTTATATTGTTTGGTAATAACAACATTACTATGTAATTAGTAGTGCTTTCTTTAAAAAAAACGCCCCGATAAGAATTGCAATCACAGAATTACACAATAGTTATCATATTTTTACTTCGTGTTAATTGATAAATGTTCATCACTTAATTAAATTAAACCTACACTACCAAACGATACATTCACAATGGAATATATTTATGAAGTGAGTAGTAATTATAGTTAAATGTATAAATAATTGTTCAATGATACATGATAATAATAAAAAAACTGCAGTTACCATGTTACATAATCGAGTTCAAATAAAATTAAATAGTTTGATACATTAAAAAACTACGCTAATGTAACCGAGAGTTTTCAATTCATTCACTCATTTGATATCAAGTTATAAAAAATTATTGATTAAAAGTACTAATCAATTACTCCGTCTGTTACATAATACAATAAAGCAAAGGTCGTTGTGTGTCTAGTTGAATAACATAATAACTATTTAGACTGTATAGAATATCCGATTATAGATCTAGAATTTTGCAATCGAGCGAATTTTCAAAAAATAGACGAACAGAATGTTTTTTAAGCAAAGATGGGTAGTGGCTAGCATTGGAATCCAGAACGCGGTACTGAGTTCGAGTCCCAGAGTGAACATCAACTCAGATGCAGATACATCCAGCTGACGAGTCCCAAACAGGACGAAACGCGCGTCCTGGATTCCACTGCTAGCCACTATCTATCTTTGCCTATAATGCTTGCAAATTAAGGCAATATCGAGGCATACGCACAGTATGCACATATGCCAATAAGAGACTGATCAATTTCAGTCCTAAACATCAATGGAAGATTCAAGTAAAACAATACCAAGTGAATTAGAATGTTTTTTTGTAAAGATTTTTTTCAAAAGTTATTAATACGAGATGTTTACTGTATGTTTCATTGAGAGGATCACTAACTTTAAGGTGATGGTTATCTGAAGAAGTTAGATGGTAGTACCAAAAACAATGTCTTTCAATATTCAACCAAATAAATCTCTATGCATAAAATTATTGAAACATAAATAAACAGAAAACAACAACTACATGTGAATGTTGAATTCCATGACTGCTCGATACACTACCGCATTACAATCGAGTTTGTCATTCAGTCAGACACAACGTAGAAATCGGTACATGTGTGCATTGGTTCACGTCGTCAAACTACATCATGACAGCCGGTTTAAATTATTAAGACAAATCCCAGAAAAGTAGAAAAACTAATGGTATTAGTAGTAGAGGAGATTAAATGTAGAAAGAAAAATACATGAAACTTTCGAGACTCAGGAATAAAAGAAAGGCAAGGAGTAAATGCACCTGCACTATTGCGAACGATTCTGAGTTATGTTACACAAAGTCTTCAATCATTGATTGCGGTTATCATGTGGATCCCAACCAGGTAGTCTAGAACTATCTATATGACTTAGTTCAATTGTCATCGACTTCGCGTCCTCGTTTAGCTACTCTTAGCCTTCTTCCGTCCTACTTCTACACAAGACAACATCGTTCTTCATGGTGGACGTTGGTTTAGCATACAGGATACATGTCTTAACCACTTCAATTGGTGAACATTCATTATCTAATCGACCAATTCTCCATTTTTTACCTAAAACCTTATCCCCAATTTTAGTACTGCTCACGTGATGTCCCAAAATACACGAGCAACATCTTGAAGACACCTATGATTGAATATTAGTATTCCATGAAAATCCTCTTCTCCTGATGGGCATTTCTAAAGTAGGTGAAGAGGCCAATAAACTCACTTACCGCATCCTGACCTCGTATTACGAATTCTGTATGGTTGATATTCTTTTTTAAAGCAACACTGAACGATATTTGTTAAATTAGTTTAGCAATCAAAAGAAATACACGTTGATAGTAATTCCATGAGTTCTCAAACTCGGGGACAGATCTCCCGACAAAGGTTGACTTCACAACATTATACTGGTTACCATACACTGACTAATTGTTGTAATATCTCACTATAACATACGTAAGCTTACCTAAATATCCATCAACACTTAGTGAAATTATAATATACAGTCAAGTAATACTTAGCAACACACATATTCATGATCCCCATACGTAAAGATACATTTTGATAATGAACCAGAACAAAGGACTACCGATTTGTTTTAGCTACCTAAAACCCAAAAACAGCATGCATAATACCCAGTTATTTAGAACAGTGACTACGTTGAAACATGATCGATTCAACTCAATCAACGCAGAGGGATAAATATAACATGACATGAGTTACCACTCAGTGATTAATAAGTATCAATATTTCAGTCCTACAAAGGGTTGGTCCATCGCTTTCCAAATAACTCGAGGGTCACAATTTTGCCCATAATAAATGAGTCTTGATCACTTGACCTGCATAAATCCCCTCAAAGTTATAAATGTATTTTTCTCATTCGTGCCAACTAAAACAAAATCTAAGTACTGAGCTTCTTGTCGATTGCCTCTAACCACTTGAAAGTATAGAAATGATGCTCTAATCAAATAAATTTCACAGTGTTCAAATTCAATGATATGTCATATTATTATCATTACTACTATTTTCTACTTGTCCACCACTTAGATAATTAAAAACACCTTTTCTGTAACCATCTCGTCAACAACAAATAAACTCACCATAAACAGGAAATTTACTTTAATATGGACCTCCATCCACAATACAAAATACGAATGATTAAAGTTACCTTTTATACATTTTTCCAAAGCTGGTCGATCTTTATGTTGATCACTTGTGAATTTTTCAATATTTTTCAAACCATTTAATAAACATCTTGGTATCTAAAGATAAAACATACAACATTACTTAATGGACTTGATGAACATAAGTGGTATATAAGCAGAGTATTTAGAAGTTAAAATAAACAATAACCAAAATATTCACATAGTAAACATACCTCTGATGGTAGTGTAAGAAACAATGACAGGATAGGGACACCTGGTTCCATAGCTTGGTTCTGTAAAGTAAATTAAGTAGTAAATTAGAAGTAATAATGGTATGCATTATGATGTCATTCTAATACTGAGTTTGATTTAACTGAAGACTGATTCGAATTGAAGCACGATTGAAAACTATGGAGCACAGGACACCAGTTTCTTCCTAGTATGGAACACTTCAGTAATGTTGGGAGTAAAATAGTTGTAACTGATGGCATAAGATTATAGTCGAGCTATAAAGCAGATTGTCTGAAGCTGCGATTATACAGTTCAAGGCTAACCTAGTAACCTTAATAATCAGGAGTTCGTTATGAGACCTGAAGGTCCTGGAATCGATTCCTGGAAGGGTCGAATGTGTGCATTGCTAAGACTTACACTAAGACTTAATAACTGTCCAACACTCACCAGCTTTCAGCGGTGCCCCAAATCAGATCGATCTGTAGCGGATTTTAATCAATTGGTTTGTGGATATTCTGTTCAGTTTGATCAAAGATTTCTAAATGAAATGGTATTATTTGAAAAACCACTGAAATTAGGAACCATTAGACAGCATAATGTGGTATTTCATGAATTCCAATTCATTTGCCTAAGACATGTCAAGATCTTAAGTTCATTGCTCGTGAAGTAGCGGTGAACCATGCTGAAAATCTCCGAACTAAAATCAAAATGCCCTTATAATTAAATTGGGAGATATGATTAATAGTACAAAAGGTGTTTACACTTTAGAACCTGGTATAAAGCTAAAATGTGATTATTGTGAAATGCTAATGCAGATTTCATGAATAACATACATAGTTCAGTAAAAATATTTCTTTCACATTTTTGACCTAGCTAATTGTAGGGTATTAATCCAAGATTATCAACCTTGAACACAAACAGACGTTTAAAAATGTAATGACAATTAACGCCACAACAAATAATTTATTTCAACTAACCTTAAGAAACAATCTCAAATGTGGATATTCTTTTCTTAATTCATAAAAATATTTCAAACGATCTGGATAAACATTTGTATAATCTACACATTGATTCAACAAATTGTTCAGTGTTAATCCAACAATTGTCCCAGGATTATCTAAATGACCATGTATAGGTGGTATCGATGATGATGAATGTGGAGAAATTGGTCGACAAGACGATAAATTATGTGATGATTCCTTCATCTGATTTCCTTGTACTGTATTTTGATAATTAGGTGGTTCGCCTACGAAATTATTAGTAAAATTCTCTGATATAATTGATGCTCTAAAGTCAGTAGTATCATGGTCATTAACTGGTTTGTTGTTTTCTCGATCGATTGGAGATGGTTGTTGTCCATTAACCGAACTTTTGCGTAGTTTAAACAGAAACGAAAATCGTTTATGTAAGCCACGTCCTCCACCAGTGATATTATTATTATTATGTTTCGTATATGAATCTATTTTAAAACTCTCTGATTGTGACGAACCTGACGAAGATAATGTAAGTTTCAAATTATTTTTATTATTTAACATACCAGCTTTGATAAACGGACTTGATGTTGGCGGTGATGATGTATGATTTGACACAGCATATGGAAGACAACCATTCTGTAGATTTTGTTTCAGTCTACATGTCTCAGAAGCGATCTAAAGTTTTGTTATTTGTTTTGAAAATGACACAAAAAATTCATCATGATGAGTGCAAAAACTGACGAAAATTTAAGGATTCTGTGGGAAAAAAATAAATTTAAAGCTATTTGGCATAAGTACGATATTTTAGAATTAATATATTTGATGATGACGTGGTCACATGATGGGTTCCGAATAGGACATTCTGGATTCTTCTGCCAATCACTTATTACATATACTAAGATTTGTGACATAATGTTATACCGATGCGATTTGCTCAGGATGCAGTGAGTTAATAGTTCAATTAGTCAATGGTCAAGCTAAAAATATGATATTAACCTAGTAGTAGACAGAGACTAACTGGTCGGTGACAACTGTGATCAGAGGCTAGAGACGTTGGGCGACATGACTTAGAATCCATTACAATGGTGCAGATGCGTTCACTTTTTATATTATTCGAGAGCTTGAGTTCCAACATTCCTTTATAAATACTTTTACTTTTTCGCTCCAAACTATGTTCTTGATGTTTAGTCTTTTTCACTATCACTAGTAGAACACTGTTTCGATTGCTTTGCTATTAACCTTGCTATTTTAATCTAATTATGCTGATGTGGTATTGTGGTATATGTTAGTTATGTTGATAGTTATAAGTAGTATGTAGTACCAATCGGAAGTAGAATGCATGTCTGTAGAAGATTATGAAAATTCAATTGTAGTAAACAGAAAGGGAAACAAAAAGTAATCATAATAACAATAAAAAGGAAAGAACCATAAAACATATGAATGACAATTGATGGAAGATGTGTAAATTTGTATCTAATGTATGGTTTTCATATTTTACCAAAGCACTCTACAATGAATTGGTTATCTCCACCTGAGTGTTCTTGAACAACACAATGACAACTTGGACTAAAACACATTTTTTGCAGGCTCTGCGTTGACTGACTGGTTGAACGAAAGTTAATAGATGGGTATTATTCACTTAAATAAGTCACCATTATAAATTATACTTCAATGTCAAAAGTTATATAAAAAAATTCGCCAGAAACGTTATTATTATTATTAGTATCAGAAGAGGTTTTGTGGAAGTTGTAGTAATTTCTATGGTTGAGATCATGAGTCGACTGAAGCCAGACCACCATGGGGAACCTGGAAGCACTGGACAGCCGTTCCGTCCTGTTGTGGGACTCATCAGCGGTGAGCACCCACGAGCCTGCATCGCGAGATTCGAACCCAGGACCTATTGGTCTCGTGCGCGAACGCTTAACCTCTACACCACTGAGCCGGCCGAGATCCATTGATGTTAATGTCTAACTTCAACTAATCCATGAAACTGAGCGACATATCCATCATTGTTTTCAGTGAGTTACTATCTCACGACTGATCCGGCTGCACTCCACTGGCCATTCACTGATGACAATGATGGGTGTATCGCTCAATTTCGTGGATTGGTTGAAGTCTGATCAGTGGCCTAGTGAACAAGCGCTCGCGCGTGAGACTGATATGTCCTGGGTTTGAATCCCGAGATGCAGGGTCGTGGATGCGTACTGCTGGGGAGTCCCACAATAGGACGAAACGGCCGTCCAGTGCTAGCAGGTTTTCCATGGTGGTCTCGCTTTAGTTGACTCATAATCTCAACTATAAAGATTCGATATTAAGCTAAACTTCAAAGATCAACAAAGTTTTTTGACCTCATCATTCATTACAATGTATCATAATAATAACACTCAATATGAGCATGTCAAACTTAAAATCATTAAATTATCAGAAATACATTTTATTATCACTTAAAACTACAGAAAAACAGTGAATGATTTAAGAAAATTAATCATATTGTGCTTTCACATTTTCAATCATTAATTGATATTGTAAAATATTAATGATGAAGTTGTTATACATCAATATTTTAACATACAGTATTGCATATAATTACTATTGTTATTATTAGAGTCATGATCTATACGTGATATGAATGTAATTAGATTGGTTGAATGCATGAACACGAACGATTCTAGATCATCAGAGTTTTCACAAAAAGAAAACAGAAGTGATTTATTGAATCTATATGTGATTTTCAACTGAAGGATTTTCACTTTGAATCCTACTTTATTCATCAATTCGGTTTGAATTAATTGAAGAAGTATTGATTGGACTATAATTTATGGATGACATTTGGGTGACGATAAAGTAATGTTGAGAATGCTCACCTACTTACTACGGTTAAATGATGGTTATAAACCAATGTGAGGAATTAGGATTATGATTTATGGTTGATGGTTAGGGTTAGTAATTAGATTTAGCGTTTTTATCATGAGATGATATCAGTTAAAATGCCAAAATTTTATTTACCTAAATAGATGAATACATTTCGCGTCAAAATCCAAGACCTGTTATACTAAATCTGATTTGTTCGTTCATAAATTATAGTCTCACCGAAGTATTACTATCAGTCCTTATACAAATAATAAAAATGTTAGATTAGCTCATAAATATGAAGCCAAAGAAATGAATTACATATCGTTACAGAAGATTACATTCAGTAATGGACTGATGGTAAATGAAATATCTGAGGGTTCACAAAATAATTAGTTGTTAGCATCAATCAACAGATATTATACCCAGAATTTCTAAAAAAAATTCCCACCAGTATGTCAAGAAACAGATGTATAAAAAGAATGAAAAATCATTTGACAGGTTATCTGCTATGAGAGTTGAAGTCAGTCAGTTATTAATAAGTAACATAGAACCTGGCACATACACATTGGTTCAAGTCGTCACACTATACTAGCACAGAGAGACAAAAGCACCACGACAAATGAAGAAGGGTAAAATTAGCAATAATATCACTGTTGGTAAAAAAATATTCATTGTCAATCCATTTTAGTTGTGTGAGGGATATGATATTGCCCAGGTGCCCAGACCGAAACAGGTGGTTTTCTTAGGAGGCCAAACCCCGAGCCTTTGACCTAAAGGTCTGACCCAGAAGGCAGTGGAACATCGTGAGGAGATGCAATCTCATGGTAGCCGGTTCATACGCCGTTTGTTCCTTTAGGATACTGGAGCCCATATGGACCAGTGGTTTGAAGTCAGAATTTCCAACTCCCCTAGGTGGACTCATCGTGTCAACCGGCCTGGTTGAAGCACCGGGTATTCGCTTTTCATCCTCCCAATTTCGTAAACAACGTCTCCGCCACGAGAAGGCAGTGAGTAAAACTTCCCCGGCAGAGGTTGTGTACGCGTGGCCGTGTGAAAGCATTTCGAGAGGGAGGTCTGGACCTCCCCACTCTCAGCCGTACCAAGGCATTTGGGTGCCCCTTTGCACCAATATTTATGTGTTCAAATAAATAAATAGTAAAACAACTTCAGACATAGACTGTATGGATCGAGAAGGAAAAATGAATACGTTGAGAAAGGAAGAGATCATTTTAAAGCACATGATTTGAAAGAAGATCAAGAGTGAATAAATCATCCTCACTGCGATCAATCTGAGACTTGTCACTCAACACCTGCAATCAGATGTTACGATAATCCTGCGGATCACAATCAGACATTCTGAACCGATAAACATGGCAGACGTATAGGATCGCTAGTAATAAATCGTTTGTCATCTAATAAATTATATCATTTTGTTCGGATATTTCATACAAAAATGATGGCTTTAATTATCTAGTACATAGTTGGTCAGCTAGCAAGTCGAGATGTTTTAATAACCTGTATCTCTGTTACACAACATTCTCATCTACCTAATATTTTCGACCGTACTTCGCATTTATCCCCTATTTCTTTAAACTGTTATTCATTTATTTTGTGTGGCACATAACTTTTGGTGTCCTACAAATTTTATGTAAATTAGATGAACAAATATAATGCATAAGATGACACAAGATATCACATAACACAATCCAACGACCATATCATATCAACTGAAGAAATCAGTCTATGTTGCACCACTGACTCAGAACTTAGTGATTAACCTACTTCACTTACAGTTGTATATTCTTTCTTATACGCACTACGTATTTGGACTTCGATAATCTGATAGTGATGCTATGTCTTGAACAAATAATCCGGCTCATAAACGAGCATATAAACCCCTAATTCGTGAATGAACCGCACTTAACTTCAATGGAAAACGTCTTCTGGTCTAGGAGTAAGCTGGAAAAGAGCTAGAGCTGGCCAACCCGAGATGTGCGATCAGTCAATGAAGCCACTGACTACTGGATTGTGTAGTGTTGATGGCACCGACTACCAAGTTAGCGTCTGTGTGATTATAGTGACCAGTAGTTTAAGATGTTGAGTGCTATAGCTCAGATCCATTCCATCTTAAAATATTTACACTTATTCTGTATATTCTTTTTTCACCTCAAATCGTATACTCTATGCTTAATCTTTTCTACTACCGCCGATACAATTACTACTCTCCAAAATTTTATCTAGGTATGTTGATATTGGTATGACTAGTTGAATTGATGCACATATGTATCCTGAACTCCATGTACCTCATGACTAACTGACTGATTTCATAAAAGAGTTACATTCGTTCATGCTATTTCATAAAACCAAAAAATATATATATTGAAATAATAAAACTAACCTCAACAATATTATAAAATAATGAATTTAAATCATTTGGATGTAAATTAGCAATTTTTTGTAAACCAGTACGATAAGCATTAATTCCATAAGTTAAATTATTCGATATATTTATCAACTTAATAATTAATGCTTCAATTGCCCATTGTCTATTGGCTTCATCTAAGCATACATCTTCCCATTTAAGATTTAATATGGGTGGTGCTAAAGTTAATATACGTGTACGTCGAGTTATACTTCCATTTCCATTCTTCTTATTATTATTTTCATTATCATTATGTAAAATACTTTCATCAATACAACATTCTTCGCATAACATCACTGAGCCAGAAGTAGTCGTAACTGTTTGAGGAAGGCATGAATTATTAATATTGGATGTAATGCAGGAATCTGTTATCGAGTGCCTAGCTATGGTAGTAGTAACAGTATTGATACAATTATCAGAACGTAAATTATATGAAAAATCATTATGTTGGGAGAAGTGTTCATCATTATGATTGTTGTTGATTCCTGTATATGTAGTGTTGTTTTTTGTTTGAGTTTGTAGATCTGATGAACTTAAAGAGTTTAACTCTTCATTTGAGATTTGTCTTGACAGATTGTAAGCTAAAATGAAAGGAATTTATACATATTTATTAACTTCAAGAAAGCTAAATAGTGTACATTTAAAAGGTTAACTACATTTTTTCACTAAGTGAAAATAAATTTCACAAAACACTAATTTCTATAGAAAAAAATTATATCAAGAAGGGTGGTTGTTGAATGGCAAGACTACTATTAAGCGCTGCTAAAAAGTGAAATCTATGACATATCGTTCGCGATAACCAGCAATCACAAATGTGGTGTCTTCTTACTTTAATGGAGAAATATAGAGTTCGGTATTTTAGAAATATGGGAACAATATGAATGCAGATTTCCAAATGAAATATGTGAAGTTCGAACCTACCACACGCAAACTGAAGGTTGATTGTTCTAACCACTAATCCACCAAAATCATCCACCTGAGCTACAAATCTTCTCCACCATCTCAAAATCCAACAGTCAAAATAACTCTATCACGAGGAGACTTGAGCCTGAACTCCTCAGATTTGAAGGCAGATGTCCTCTCTACTAGACCACGAAGCTCAATTGCAACAACAATAAGTAGACGTTTAATATAGTTTAAAGTTCTTCTTATCTACATAAATCACTGAAATAGCTGTCAAGTAACATAAACAGACTAGTGTCATGAATACAACCGTCAGATTCAGACTCTTTTCGATGAACTTGAAAAAGATGTCACTTTCGTTGTAGGTCACTATGAATTAATTGATCACTTTCAGCGTGAGAAATCCTGATGGCCATCAGAAAACCATATGCACTTCTTCATTCTTGCTTTATTTCTTACTTCACTTCAATCAATTAGTTGCTCTTCTGCTCCTGTCTTTTCAAGTCGACACGTCTTTAAATTTGAAACTAAAATTATCATCTGTAAACTTCGCTTCAAGAATCAAAAATGGTTCAATTAAATCCACACAGAAAATTACAGTGTGATGCCGTTACTGAAGAAAATACACTTAAAACTCATGTATCAACGAAGCAATGATAAATGTAGCTAGCAAAAAGCCACATTGAAATGAGCTATTTAGGAATCGCAATTATTTTGTACAGATGTGCTAATAAGTTAGAAATTTTACATTCTAATAAAATGGAAAATATAATTGTGATCATTATGATGATTTAATTGATTTCATGTAAGGAGTATATATAAAAAACATTTGTTTACTGATAAATTTGACCAACTACTGAGCAGAATCTAAATAATAAGTGGGAGATATGTTGAAGAGCACATTCTATTGCTTAGAATTTGACTTCATTTTCTGAAGAAAAAACCCCCAAATACCGAGGATGGGAAGAGTCAGCTCTCCTAATCGAAATGCTCTCACATAACCACGAATAAAAAGCCAATGTCAGGGAAGTCCTACTCACTACCTTTTCATGGTGGGAGTGTTATTTACGAAATTGAGAGGATGAAAAGCGAATGTCCGGCGCTTTAATCGGGTTGGTGGATACGGAGAATCCACCTAGGGAAGTTGGAGATTCTGACTCCAAACCACTGGTGCATATGGGCTCCAGGATCCTGAAGGAACAAATGGCATATGAACCTATTGTTCGCCACAGGTCATCATTGGACTGTATCTCCTAACGTTGTTCCACTGCCTTATGGATTAGACCTCTAGGTCAAGGGCTACAAGTTTGGCCCTCTAAGAAAACCACATGCTTCGGTTTCGGCACCCGGGCAGCATCACCGCCGTCACACACATCGATGACAACAACTACTGGCCTCTTTGTTATTGTGTGATGCATAAGAATTTGGTACCCCTTTGTACCAATCTTTATGTGTACAAATGGATAAATAAAGAGAAGAGACATAAGCTATTGGTTGAAAATGTGGTCTTATTTACTGAGAGAAAAACGTATAAATTTATAGATGAATTATACGTATATTCTCCATGTGATCAGGCAACAAAAGCAATATAGTCACTCTAGATTTTCTCACTCAATTAGCTGGTTTAGACACGTATATAAGAAGCGTATATATGAGTAGGACACCTAAACGACCGCAGTACAGCATAACATATATACAACATAATTTACAAATATAACTCACATTTTAATTCTCGACTAGAATCAGGCAAACAATATTTAGAATTAATGCTTTATTTGGATGACTTTCTGCAGATTTAGACATACACTCTACAACATCTTTGAGTGTCAATGTACAATTCAATAGAGTATTTCCAATCCCTAAAAGATAAGCTCCAACAGGTAGTCCAACTTGATCAGCCGGTGAATCTTTTTGTACTGAATGAATACGAAAGCATCTGTGAGTAGGCAAATAATTATATTGCTCAATATTTGATGAATCTTTATGACTGGACAAAGTAATGGGAGTACTAGCAAATTGTTGAAAATCAAATTTGACCATTTGACATGTTAGGGTAAAACCGTAACCTGATTCCGATTTGGGTATTGTGATCTGTAGAAAGTAGGACATTGTTAGGTACTTAAATAAAATATAATCTCAGTTTGCAAGCGGATAAAATGAATTCAAATGTCGATAACAGAATTCTTATGAAACAAAAAATGAACGATCATGATAAGAAATAAACATAACTGAAATAAACTAGAGATAAGAAAAACATTTTTTCTTAGTACATGGGGTTATGTAGATTTTTCACTTTTACCTCAAAGTTTGGTTTTAGTTTGATAACCAATGAAAATCAAGAAGGACTGGACGGTTACTTCGTCCTAGTATGAGATGCCTAAACAGGGATTAAACACAAGACCTTCATACCATGAACTTTCTTATACTACATTATATACATTATACATTATACTACATTAAATATACGGGTGAAAAGTGGATATCACAAAAAATCACACGTATGCATTCAGCGTTTTAAAATCACTGCACACTTGTTCAAATATAAAACACTATGATGAATCACTAATAACCCAGCAGTTTATAAATTTACGGATAATCAGCTACTTGCTTTCATGCCTCTGTACTATATACTCCTGTTACCCCTCATAGAGGAGAATAAGTCGCTCTCCAGCATTCTCCATCGAACTTCATTCTGGGCCATCCTTTCCAGTTGCTACTCATCCTTTTGATGTCCGCCTTCAATACTGGACGCAATGTGAATTTTTGGCTTTACCCTTTATCGTTTCCCTTCAGGATTTCAAGTTAGGGCTTGTCTTATGATGCAGTTTGATGATTTCCTCAATGTGTGTCCTATCCACTTTCAACATCTTTCCCTAATTTCTTCCTCAGATGGAAACTGGTTTGTTCTCTCCCACAGAAGGCTGTTGCTGACGGTATCCGGTCAACAGACATTCAGTATCTTGTGTAAACAATTGTGACGGTGGCGGTAGTTCTCCAATTTTCAACTCTGTAGAGCAGGACTGCCTGGCCGTTCGTATTGAATATTCTCAATTTGATAATGGTTGACAGCTGTCTTGAATTCCATATGTTCTTCAACTGTAGGTATGTTGTCCATACTTTGCCAATCATAGCCCTTACTTCTGCATCAGATCCTCCTTATTTATCGATGACGCTACCCAGATACGTGAGTGCTTTCACCTATTCCAGAGTTTTTTTCGTCAAGCGTGATAGGGTTGGTGTTCTCCGTGTTGTATTTGAGGACCTTGATTTTTCCTTTGTATATGTTGAGCCCTATTGATTCAGGGGCTTTTGCTAACTGTCTGACTTGACCTACATTTGTTGATGTGCGAAGTTCATATCATCTAGTTGCAATCAACCTGTTCATTTTATTCCGTGCTTCCCATCGGATGTCATGGTCTTCATAATCTAATCAACCACCGGAAGAAAGAGAAAGGGGGATAGTAAGCAGCCTTGTCTGACTCAGGCCGTAACTACGAATTCATTTGTCATCTGTCCTATCCTGCATGCACCACATTGCACTGTAGTCCATTGTAACAATTTCGGATGATGTTGACGATTTCTTTAACAACTCACACCATAGTGTCGAAGAAGTTTACAGAAAGTTCCACTTTTAGTGGATTCTCTATTCACTGCAAGATATATGTTTTAAATAAAGTCACATTAATTGTAACTTGGGCATATGACGATTCAACATTATTTCGTGCGGGAGGATAAAGTCAGAAAATTTAAAGTCAAGATCCAAAACTTCGAGTCTTAAAATAACGAAGGTGATATGACGGAGTGAAAAGTTAAAATCAGATTGAATTACTCATTATGATTTTTGTTCAACATTAATTCTATTTTAATTTCACAGGTTGAAATCATCAGTCGATTGAAGCTAGATCACCATGGAAAACCTGGAAGCACTGGACGGCCGTTTCGTCCTAGTATGGGACTCCTCAGCAGTGCCGTCCAGTGCTTCCAGGTTTTCCATGATGGTCTAGCTTCAGTCGACTCATGATTTCAACCTGTGAAATTTCTAAAACTCTCCACAAAACCCATTCCATTTTAATTCAATGTGATAATTACTCAGTGTAATATGTGTTTTGTTTTTCCGTATATTTTATTCTGTATAACATACAATATTCTTGTATTAAATTAACGTGAACTATGCTCAATATGTGATTTGTTATAACTAAGTGTATTTCATATATGTGATTACTATTCAAGATGGGTGTACGAATCAGTATATAAATGAGTGTATGTTAGACTAGAGTCGTCGTGTTTTGGGGTTAATAAATCTTCACTTGTATTAGTCTTGAGTACATACTTTCTCACCGTGAGAATTGCAGTGGTTCCTCGCTTTACAAGTATAATTGATAAGCGATTCCGACATAACAATCAGAGACGTCCAGATATAACCATTGGTGACGCATTTATAACAGCCGACCACCTGACATAACACTTTTATATCCTTGATAGGGTCTTTCTGGTTTCTTATATTTCCCTGCTAGTTTCTTCGTTGTGTCACATGTCTATCTCATATTTCCTTCGCTTACAACTTTTTCCGCCGTTGTTGCTAGCTCTTCCACGTATTTCTACTTGTCGGCTCTAATGCTCCTATTCACTTGCTTGTTTGCTCCTGCATATTCAGCTTGTGCTTTGACTTTCAGTGTTCTTGTTCGGCTGTTGTTAATTTCCGCTTACTTGTTCTTCTTTTCTTGAATCTTTTCCAGGGTTTAGATGAAGATCCATTTCTTATGACGATGTTTCTTGCGGCCCAGCACCTCCTGATACGTTGACGTCAGTGCTTCTTTGGTCCCTTTCCAGTCGTACGCCATAGTAACTTCTTCTTTCCGTAAATCCTGTAGGGCTTGGAAGTTGTTGAAAGTTATCTTGAATTGGTTGAGTTTATCAGTATCTCGAAAGACAGCTGTGTTGGACATTTTGAATGCTGTTTGCCCAGTTGCCAAGTACTTCTTTAGCTTTAGTTTCACCTTGGCGACCACCAGGTAGTGATCTGAAACCATGCCAACTGTTCTCCTAATTCTCACGTCTTCAAATGACCTTGTGTTTTTTAGTGATGCAAATATGATTGATCTAGTTCTTTGTAGTGTGATCCGGTGCTCCCCATGTAGTTTGTGGGGGATATAGTGCCGCTTGTAATCAATTTGTTGAATGAACATAGATTTCCAAACCTCCCCCCATCTTCATTTTTTTCTCCCAGTCAGTCATGTCGTCCAAGGATATCCTCATACCCGTTGTTGTCCACCTCGACTTTGGCGTTTAGGCCTCCAATCAGGATGATCTGGTCCTTTCCTGAGCATTTTGCTATGATCGCTTGCAGCATCTCGGAAAACTGATCTTATTGTCATCATTGCTATCATTGGTGGGTGCATAACATTGGATAACATTCAGTGTGATTCCCTCCTTCTTTGTTTTATTGATGTTTCGATGATTCTGGGTCTATGAGATTCCCATCTTACAAATACTTTATGTGCTTCTTTGGACAGCATCAGAGCAACTCCCTGAGTGTGTGGAGCATTTTCCTCTTCGTGACAGAAGTACAACAGCGTCTCTCCCGTATCTAGCCTCTGCCGTCCAAGTCCGTTCCAGTGGTTTTCACTGATTGCAAGGACCGCCAAGTTGTATCGCTGCATTTCTGTTGCTATTTGACTGATCCTTCCGGTTTCCCACACTGTCTGGACGTTCCATTTACCTATAAAAATTGTTGCTGTGTTTGTTAGAAGTGGTATCATCCTCGTGACTTCCGAAGAATCTCAGCTATCATCATGAGGCATCATAATTCTTCCTTCAACTCCGGGGCAGAGTTTTAATGCTTTAAGTTGTTTAACCTGGTTGGCTATTTTTAGCAAGGTTGTTGTCTACGGGATGGGGTTGTCAACCCACACCCAACCCTCCTCGTTTACTCGGGCTTAGGACCGGCAGTAGCCCTAAAAGAGCTACAGGCGGAGTTTCATGCCTCTGTATACAATATCCTTCAACACTCTTTGAAGGATTAATCACGTACTCTCTTCAGAATTTATATGGACCAGCTTGTTTTATTTAATTCCTTAATTTTGTGATAATAAAATTAGTTTAAAACTTAAGGGAATCGTTCAAATATACTACCCTAACTAAACCACTACAATGACGCTAACAACAAGATTGTATACTTTTATATATTTATTTCGTTTACAAATAAAATAAACACTTACCTTCTTTCTCGTGAAACCTGTTAATGATGGTAATTTCGATTCTCATTTAAATTTAAAGAAGATAATGTAGAGAAACTTTCAGATTTGATCATCACATTAGTGATTGTAGATGGTATTGAATTTGATCCTGATTTAAATGATCCTATAGATGAGATTTCTTCTTGTGTATCCAATTTAGAGAAACGTGGTATTGTACCTACGGACATATGACGACAATAACTAGAATTTTGTCCCAATAAGTAATACCATTGTGATTTAGAAAAATCTTGACTAATTACTTCTAATGAAGGTAAACTAATTGAAAAATGTTCAGATGTGTAACATTTTAAATTGGCTAAATCTTGTGATATTGATTCTTTGAATAAATTCATAGAGTTATTGTCTTCTGAATTAGTTAATATTTTCAATGATTTTGTTTTAATCTTCGAATATTAAATGACATACCTCCAAGAAAAATTGCATTTTCATAACCAAATCTATATAGAAGAAAACATAATTATAAAATAGATCCGTATATTTTACAATGACAAATCATATAATGTAATTAAAAATAAATCGACTTATAAATTATATGAATTTCTAAAGTCAAGGTTATTAACAATTATTGGCTAAACTTATAACTTGGTTAAGAATTGGACAATACGAGAACATTTAAGTGTACTCACAGTCGATTTGGTAGAAAACACGTCAAATGTATAACACAGTATATATATACATATAAACATACATTAAACTTACGCAACTATGATATGTCAGCATTTACTAACACTAACAGTAGAAATTAGGTTTTACATTGGTACATAAAATAAAATTGAGTAGGTCGCTGTAACGGAGGAAAGTGTAAATTCAAATCTTAAATCACTCAGTGACTCATCATCTGTAACCATAATGAATATATTGTTATAACCAGCATTATATACATAGACCAATGTGTAATGAAGTTTAAACTTTGGTGATTCTGTTTCGATAAACTGGCAGTTATAATTATCAAACACAATTAAAAAATAATTTCATTCATAGACTTGGTTCAGTTGAAAGGACGATTGAAAATACTGGAAGATAACTGAATAGAAATTTCATCATAGTCTAGGAATTCATAACAGTGAGCAAACAATAACAGCCTCAAAAAAAGATGAAGTTCCAGAATCGTCAAATCTCGTCGTGATGAGTACGATATAATTATATTATCAATTTTTCTAGGGGTTGTGGAGATTGTTAAGTTTTTGACTGAAACCATGAGTCAATTGAAGCTAGACCACCATTGATTGGTTGAGGTTAGACATTAACACCATTAGATGCCGGCTCAGTCGTCTAGTTGGTTAAGCGCCTGGCGCGAGGCTGATAGGTCCTGGGTTCGAGTCTCGTGGGTGCGCAATGCTGAGGAGTCCCACACCAGGACGGAACGGCCGTCCAGTGCTTCCAGGTTTTCCATGGTGATCTAGCCTCAATTGACTCATAATTTCAATCAAAAACAATATTTATATTACATAGATTAAATTAGTATCATACTAGTTTCATATAAAAAAGACTATAGAATTTATTTTTAATAAATAATCAACATAGCTGTTAACCAATTTTATTCCACAAACTGTAAACATCAACAAGTCAACTATTTTCATAAACAAATTTAACGGATTTGGACACCAAACATAAACAAAGTCAGTAAAAAGGATGATGGTGATGAAGAAAGTAGAAGTGAGTAGACTTTATTTGTAAAACAACTAGAAGTGGTGCTCAGTGACTGAGAAAAAATTAATGTGAAGTGAAATCAAACATTTCCATCAACCCATTGAATCAAATACTTTGCCTAATACATGATCGGCCATTCCCAGTCTCGATGTATGCTATTTACTAGTGTAAAAGTTGGGAGGAATTTTAGGATGGTTCAAACCAGAACATAAATGACATCAGTCCATAAAATTATTGATCATTGAATTGAGTCATGTTTATAAGTGTAGACTATCAGGTTGTGATCCTCACAATCGTCGTAATATTGTTGGAGATATTTGGTGACATAACTTAGAAACCGCACAGATACACTTTTGGTCTTTTCTCAAATCTCGGGTTCAAAGTTAGTTTGTGCTTTTTTGATAAGTTTATTGTTTCTTTTCTGTTCATATCTTGTATGACTAAAATTTTTTACTACCACCGACACTTATTAATCCTATCACTCTGTGATTTATTTTGATAATTTTCCTTCTACCTAAATAGGACGTGGTGACTTCAATCGAAGCATATATATGTCATATTCTAGGATGCTCATTACTGACCAACTGACTGAAAATGTATAAAGACTTAAAAGTTGACAACTGAACCATCTGAAGATCATTGTAGCATACAAATTAATAAAAACGTTACAAAATGATTGATAAAAACCAAAGGACTTGGTGGCTAAAAAGAATAAATGAAATATACTCTTCAGTATTGATCGCAGCGATTGACAGACTAGATATCTAGGAAGATGTTCGTATTAATGGCTTATATGTATTTACGAACTCTGATTCTAATCCTGCATTAGCTCTCAACACAAAAGTTGACTATACATTAACCATGAACTCAGTTGGTGAATTATGTTAAGTAAAATTTTATTGAATTTATTACATAGATTTACAATTAAAAATTTATAATGAACTATATTCGATGATCAGACTCTAAGTGGTTGATGCGATAGCGTTTGAAGCAAACAGTACTGGATTTGAGTCCCGGAGTGAACATCAACTGTGGGATGAAAGTACATCCAGCTAACAAGTCCCAAAAAGGAAGGAACACGAGTCCTGGATTCTACCTATTAGTGACCTTCCATCTCTGCTTATAATCACATCTATTGTCCCGAACTTAATGTACAATTACTGACACATGTAAACTTTTAAAACATCTTCCTCAATAAAATGGTAGTATTTAGATAAAATAGACACCAATTGACGAACAGAAATGAATCTAACTCATTTTAGAATAATGTATATCAATAATATTCTGTTATATTTCGTTAGGATCAACAAAGACATATGAAATATACTATAGAACTTACTTGGACTGATTTAAGTATAACTCAATATATAATCGGTCATTATGAGATATATGAGAAATTTCACTATAAAGAAAAATATAAAATATATTACTCGAATATATAGAAAGGATTATATTTTGAATAAACAGATTAACATACGAAATAATCCGCTTATAATGTATAAAGTCAATAATAAGTAGTCGCTGGAAAACAAATCCAATTCATATCGATGCTTAACTTAATAATTATTTATTATTATTAATGGCTTTATTCAATATCATATTTCTGATACAATATAGGATTCTCAACACAGGGTGTATTTCAACAAGATTCTTATAAAACAAAAAGTGAAAACCAAGGTAAGACTGATAACTGCTGTTTTGTGTGGCGCATATTTATCTACATAACTTTTAACTAGCAACATATTTGAGAATACAAGTTTCTGACTAGGTCAGTTCTTGTAACCAGTCAGTCAGTCAGCTACAATATAGGACCAGGCACATATATGCATCGGTCTAAGTTGCTACACCTCCTTAGCATAACAAGATGAACACCGAAATCCATAAAAGTAGTTAATTCAACGGTGGTAATATATAAAAGAAAGATTGCATATAAGGATATAGTACAGGAAGAAAGAATTAATTCTTCACGCAGCATAGTTTCTAAACAAAGTATTGTAGAGCTTTTATACCATTGCTCGAGTGCATGGATTGTAATGTACTGACGTCTCGTTCTACCAGAAGATATACAAGGAGAAAGATATGAAGTGGATGGTTACTATCTGTTAAGGAGTTTGCAAAGTTTTAGATGTCTATCCACAACCATATTAGTAATGACCCCAAAACATTCACCACACAACCTGCTAACTGCCTACGCCACTCTCCACAATACGGCAAAGTCTTTAAAATAAGCACTATGCTGATTTTTGATGTAGTCAGTAGCAAAATCTGAACCTAGGTTTTGCGCCAGTTGGTACTTGTCAATAAAATGTATCTTCAATCTTGTGGGATAAGAATTTGGTTTACCCAGCTTTCTCAGTCTGAGACATTACTACTAAGTTATCCGGGTAGGGACTAACTTACCGTAGAACTTAAGAATTTACAATCGATTGATCATTGGGTAGTGAACTATGATAATATTTACCTAGTCCTTTTAATACTCCTCGAATCCTACTGAACAATTTATAACGGGTCCACTAATCCAAGTGACTTGTTATGGCATGCAACTCGATGATTTATTAACTGAGTCAACAATTTTATTACTTCTCTCTCCAAAGTTTAAATAAAGCTTGAACACTGACTGCTGTAACGTATTATAGTAATACATAAGCAAGAAAATAACGCAAAATTTTAAAGTATCTTAAACAGTAGTATGACTTACAACGAGAATTTTTCGTTAAATACTGGTGCAGTACAATCGGGGACAGATTTAGTTCGAAGTTGATAAGTATTTGTGTTAGGTGAGTACTTTGGTGCTATTCGAACCTAAAAAGATTTGAAATCACACATTTTAGTCTTACCAAGAATTTTACTAAACAACTTATTTAATGAAAACACTGTGATTAAACTTAATCATAACTACCTCGATATGGTGGTCAGGTTGTCTACCACACAAGCTCAATCAAGTTATATTGATCGGAAAAGTCGTTTCTTGAAGTCCATGGTTTCTAATGCATCAGAATATAATATATAACAACTCCAAACATTGATCTTGCTTCCTGATTTGACCGCTGAAAAATGTATCTCGACGGATTCTCATGGAGAAAATAATACCTAACTTTAATACTTCTATGTAGTCGTGGAAGATATGAATATTTCTATAACATCTGTCTGTCGCGCGACAACTGTATGAATATGATTTACATCTTCCACTATCCTAAATATTGAATATTATGCCGAAAACAAGTATTACAAGATTGACGAACGACATATTTGTACATTATACCATAGAGTTATAAAACATGGAAATCGAAACAGTACTTTTGTAGTGAACGAGAACACAGGCGGGGATAACCAAATGTATATGAATACAACAATACAGAATATCTTGGTAAAATCCGAGAACCATACAGTAAATACTTCATTCGCAAAATATCCATCACTTATCACTCTGTTCTCGTTCTTCTCTTTGATCTTCTCAAACTTTTGCGGCCAGGCATTCTACTTTTGATTAATGATACACACTGCTTATATCTGTCGACATCAGTAACACACACCACACGACTGTTACATATGAATATTTATTTAAAAGTCTACAACTCACTTCTACAAACATAGTGTAACCTTCATCTACAGGTACTTGAAGATAACGAGCTCTAACGACTAGAAAAATAAAACAAATTAATTACGGCGTTAATGAAAAGTTATATTTTAAAGATATACAACGATCACAATGGTAATCATAATGATAAAGAGAATACATTGTTTACAGAAACCAAGAATGTCATTAGGTAAATGTTAAATACTCGGTTCGTTGAAGTTGTTATCCTAGAGTAATGTAATCAATCAAATTATAACCACTCTATTGATTGTCTGAGCTCTACTTTATATATTTCGAACTGAGCAACAATATGTATCATCAGTCCTTGTACAAAATTATAGCTTTAAATCAAAAATATTCGAGCCTAAAGTGAAAACACTTATTTTCACAATTTGATAGCTTAATTATCATTGGAAACCAGAAGTAATGAAATGTTTTATCTTAGTTCCCAAAACACCTCAGAAGTGTGTTCACATAAAATTACATGAGGGATAAAACCCAAGATCCTTATGTTTCGGGAAGATCATGCTATATTCAAACCACAGATCTATAATCTAATGGTTCTAATTTTTAAATTAAGTCAACTTGCAATATGAAGCAACCATTGACATGGGTAGTGCTGCGATTTTTGGATGATGTACATTTGTGCCGGGTTGTTCATAGACAGTTTACAAAACGATTAATGTAGCCTCACTTTGTTTATGAGATCAGTTATTAGCCGACTACGTTGAATTTAAATAAGCTTGATAGAAATAATCGTTTATTTGAGCAATGGTGAGAAGCATTTATTAATATCCGTCATGGGTTCTAAATAAGAAATATTTCCAATTAAACGATCGCGTATTTTAGATGGTTAATCCAAGTTAGGAACCTCGCTGAATAATATTACCAGTTAAGATAAATAAAATGAATCAAAGTATAAAATGGGTAAATGACAAAAAACGTCAGATTAAACCCCAAAACGTGAACCAAGTGAATGATTTGAAACAAGATTAGACGAAATAGATAGTTCTCCTTTCCAAATATAACAGTAAGGAAAACTGAAAGTTGTGATAATAACTGTTTAATTATGCTCACTTACGTAATAAAGTCAGTTTAATAGCACTATCAAGTTTGTTTTAATAAGGTCACTTCTGTTAAAAAAGGATTTAACTGTGAGTTGCAAATAAACTAAAGATAAACTAGCATAGGGGGATTCTTGTGAAAATTGTAGAATTTTCATAGTTTAATTCACGAACTGATTTTAGTTAGACCACCATTGAAAACTTGGAAGCACTGGATGACCGTTTCGTTTTAGCATGGGACCTCTCAGAAGTGTACCTGCAAGACTCCACATTAGGGACTTGAGCTCAGGACCTCCGATTTCATGCGCGAATGCCCAACCTCAAGATAAATGATCCGGTGTTAATGTCTGACTAAAGACAACCGAATCGTGACATAATGATAAGTTTCTTCTATCGGAACAGGTTTATACTGTGAGTTACAAATAATATCATAAGCGACAACGGAACTATGCTAAATAAAAATTCAATAGAGATAGTAGTGCAGTTATCCTGATCCCAAGTTGCAAATCAATACACCATAAGTAGCAAAACTCCACTGAATCCATGAACAAATGTAACCATTAAATATCGATTAAATCGGAACTTAATTTGCGTACCTATATGTAAATGTCAAAGAGATAATTTAAATAAATAAGTGATTTGCATAAATTTTACATGATTTTTAGTCTAGTGATGAATCTAAACCCCCAATAAATCATCCATCAACCCCTTTAATTTTCAAATATAACCAGATTCCTAAATTGATCTATACAATAGTTGTCATCATTTTAGAATCATACCAATCACACTGTGATTGGTAAGGTTTTAACCTATTGTTTTGGTAGGTACATAAGTGGATTTGTGACAGATGTTTTTTCCCAAGCAAATATACTTTGAAAAATTTATAAACAATCAAAATTACTACTTGACCTTTGTCTTTATATTACCTAAGGGAATATCACTTGTTGATTAAATCCACTTGAAATGAATCAATAAAGTATAGGGTTTCAGTGAATGTGAAAACCTTTCCAACTTGTAAATCGAAGTTAAACTACCAAACCTGAGAAATACAAGGACTTTGGTAAGCACTTTGTTTCACTATAGGAGACCTCAGTCCTAGAATCAAATTGAAAAGCTGTAGATCAACAATGAGACTCAGACATATCCAGTATCTAGCAGGAAGACTGATTTTTAAAACCACACAATGGACATCAACAAAGCGAGGAAATTAAAGGAATGAAGACACTAAAGCAGAAATAAAAAGCTTACAAAAGTGTGGGGAATAAAATAGGCAAAGATTGAGAATGAAATGTATATAACAATTAAATGCCCAAGATTTAAACGAGAGCAAAAAGTAAATACATCTATACAGGGGACAAGATCACCTAAAGTACTCGAAAATAGAACCCTTCAGTCCCATCGGTACATAACCAGGATGTTTTAAGTTTAAAGCGTAGTTCAGACTAATAGCTAAACTTTTTGACTTGGGTTAGTACCTCGACGTGAACATTATCATATTGATTCTATACAACTCATACAGCAGATGGATATATATGCATACTGATTGACAGTGGCTCCTCAATCCTAATCACGGTAAAAATCATGATTTGTTTCGCTTAGCTACTTAGATTAAATCAAATATCACTGTAGAACCACACGAAAAAAATTTATTGGGGTTATCGTTCTAATAACCATCAAAAACCAATTTAAAAAACTTGAGGTAAGACACTATTGGATGGTGTCAAATGTCATGGCAGAAGGGTGGCTTACTGGTAAAAATGTTCGACTTTCAACCACTAAGTCCAAGGCTCGAGCTCCGACTTATCTAATTCGAATTGGGCAACTGGACAGTTTCACTAACCCTCGTACGTAGAATGTGGCTCATACATAAATAGTCCGTAAGTTAATTTAGTTTAGTTGCACAAACAGAAATGTAACAATTGAATAGTCAACTGTTTATATACGTAATCGGAGAAGTTAGCTGTAAATGTAAAGATCAATGCAACTAAATGACTAAGTTTACATTTGGATTCTCATCTCCAATCAACCTTAGTGTGTCACGATTACAGACTCGATGTACGTGATTTACGAACGTAACTACAAACAATTTCATGGTCACCACCAAACCTAATATGAAATAGATAGGCTGTATCCTCAAAAACATGAATCGTCGTATATGTATAAATATTCTTAAATAGATTTCAGTCAAATAGGTCTTGGAAAAAACTAGCTGAAGCATACCAATTGTAAATTCACTTGGCATTGTTGGCTTGAATCTTCCTATTGATGTTTAGGACTGCAATTGATCAGTCTCTTATTGGCATATGTGCATCCTGTGTGGATTGCCTCGATATTACTTTAAGTCACAAGCATTATATGCAAAGACGGATGATAACTAGTAGTGGATTCCAGGACACGCGTTTCGTCCTATCTGGGACTCGTCATTTAAATATACCTACATCTCAAAGTTGATGTCCACTTCAGGACTTGAACCCAGTAACGTTCGCTTCATACGCCATCACGTTATCTATTTAGCTACTGAGTCCAGATAGCCACTTATTTGTGCCATAGAGTGAAATGTAAATTCACTTAGTATTATTGGTATTTTATACATCATATTGAAAATGATCACCAAATCGATTACAGATAACATCAAACAATGTTATAATGAATATGTTCTGTTTACTAAAATTTTTCGTTGAAACAGTGAATATGTTATCAACATTTTAATTATCACATATATATATGTTTCATTAAAAATAAACCCTACATTATTGACTGAAAAATGATACAGTTTTTTTTAGTGAGTAGTCATTCGTACTATAAATGGGTACTACAGAGCTTAACTTATGAAAAAAAAAAGATTGAATTGTGTAAATTTTACAGAAATTAGGTTACAAATAATCAACTTACTTTGTATACGTATACAATTGTCTGTAATGTGTAGTGCAAGTTGTAACTGACCTATAAATAAACAATTTCATTAAAAATTAAGATGAACAAAATCTGAAGTAAATTTTTTTTATTAGAAATGATAATTACAATTCAATTGACTCATGATTTCAACTATTGAAATTACTAAATTCTCCACAAAACCTCTTCTGATAATAATCATCTGCTCACTAGTGACTGACTTCAAGAGACACTCCTGGAGTTCTAGTGAGAAACCGTGACCAGTGGAGTTCAACCAGGTCTGTTGTGAGATATCAGCTCACTGAAGGCAATGGTGACGGTGGTGCAATTTCGTTGATTGGATGAAGTTAGACATTAACACCGTTGGGTGAAGGCCAGCTCAGTGGTCTAGTGGTTGCGTTCGCGCGCGAGACTGACAGGTCCCGGGTTCGAATCTCGCGGGGGTGCGATCGTGAATGCTCACTGCTGAGGAGTCCAATGCTAGGACGAAACGGCCGTCCAGTGCTTCCAGGCTTTCCATGGTAGTCTAGCTTCAATTGACTTATGATCTCAACTATTAAAAATTCATATAATATCCACAAAACCCCTTCTAATAATTACAAATAAGTATCAGAAGGGGTTTTGTGGATATTATATGAGTTTTTAATAGTCGAGATCATAAGTCAATTGAAGCTAGACCACCATGGTGGATGTGTTGCTCAACTTCGTGGATTAGTTGAATTTAGACATTAACAAAAGTAAGATAATTGTGAATTAAATATCAGCGTTATTTCATGAATGAATGAAAGAGTAAAATTCAACATTATGGTAATAGATCTGATGGGAAATACAAATTATACTACGGTTACAGAAACATGTGTATTTAAGGATATGGCCACGTTAAAGCTAACAATTATCCTGATAGAAACACTTAATTATATGAAATAAACCTAATTCGGTGGAATTTCGATGAGAAAAGACTGAGGAAAACAGAACATTCATTTAACATATAATACCTTATTACTTAAAGAAATTTAAATTCGAATGAATCAAACGCGATGACATAAAATCACAAATTAATTTGGCAATCTTGATGGGTAGATCGCTACATTGAGTTAATAAATATAACATGATTGATTAAAAAGACAGATAGAATCTTAGTCTGTGACCAGCTGCATACAGAACTCATATTCGATTCTTTTGATCAATTAACTCCTATATGAAGGAATTAGCGATCTACATTTCATGTTCATATTTTTATTCTTTATTTTCACCACATTTGCGTCAATATTCAACTATTGTTTAATCTCTAATTAATCCTTAATCTCGATGGGAACTTGTTAACCTCATATTTTTTTCACAAACACGATACTGCTTACTTTAAACAAACTTGGTCACATAGTTACTTGTTTTTCTACGAAAAAAGATGTATGTTGTAATAGAAATCCCCGAAATTAGTAATAGACATTCACGATAACAATCAGAAATAGGATAAAGTGAATGAATCATCAATACTAGACAACATCGTTGATTAATGATAGCCATTCCATTTAATTATAATACAAAGATTAGAATTAGATTTTTGAAAATGGATTTAAGCTTGATAACCTGAAGTATCACTCTTGCTCCCTCTCTCCTACTCTCATCAATCAACTACATTTTTAACTTTTATGCTATCTGTAGAACTAAATTTGATATGAATCCATTTTAATCATGTACGTAATTACTCCTGCGATGATGCATGAATCAGTAAACCCTATAAATTATAAATGAAATCAAAAGGAAACAAAGTACAGTCAAATTTGAAACAACCTATTAATTGTCTACGTTTCAACACGATTACATAATATACCAATCTACGATATCCTAAGACAATTCGGCTACAGTCTAATCAGTCGGCTGCGAAAATATTTGCATAACTCGACTGCAATTAGATGGAGACAAGATAGGACTGTTAAGTTAGTACTAGAAAATGTGAAGATTTGCATGCCTTTTAGTGCTGTAAAATCAAATATATATGCCAGACAAACTTCAAAGTTTAGCTGATAGAAGATTCCATTAATTTATAATCAATCAGCAGAAAACTCAAGGATGAAACTACATTGTCTATTCAACTCGCATTAAACCTAGTGCAATTGGTAACCACAAATGTTGTGTCCCAAATATCATTTTGTGAGGGCTAGGATACTGTCCATGAGCCCATAACGAAACTGGTGATTTCCTTAGAAGACCACTCTTTGAGTCTTAGACTTAGAGGTCTGATCAACGAGGCTTTGGAGAAACATCAGATGCCCACCTATTATACCCATTGGTCAAAAGTAGGTCTACAGACTATTCATTAACCCAGGATACAGGAGCCCATGTACAATAATGGTTTGGAATCGGTTTTCCAACTACCATAATTGGGTTGTTTGTAGCCATCACCTCGGTTTTAGCGATAGACTTACGATTTCCTCTCTCATATTCATAAACAACGCTCAGAGCGTGAAGCCAGTGAGCAGAACTTCTATGGGAGACGCTATAAATCAGCTGTTCCAGGGTGTCTAGTGTCATACTTTGAATACCGCACCACACGATATAGCAAAATATTTTATTAATAATAAGTCAATCCTTATTCTAAACTCTAAGCAGTCTAATAGTGGAGCGGCGGGAGTGGTAGAGCTCAAACTAGGACAGCTCTACATATACTGCAGTTCAGGAAACCAGTTAGTATCGTCAGCCTTTACCTAAATAAAATGCAAGTCGAAGCTGAGTATGCAAAATTTGTAATTAATAAATAAATCAAACATACTTATCGTAAGTTTAGTGAATAGTTATAGACTCACCTTGCCAACAAAGACGATCATAACATTCCGTTGTGGCTAAAATACCATTTTGACAATCGACTGGAACAGCCATTTCATTATCGATTTCATTTAGACAAAGTTTATTACTGAGGGATAATAACGATAAATCTGAATTTAAAGGTATCATAATTCCATAACAAAAGAAATTAGAAGATAGTATTCGAATTAAACGGATTGTGTTCTAACAATTTTCAGATATGCAATCTTATTATTGTAGGATAGACTAAACATCTACTCTAAATTTGTTGACTCATTGAGGTCAAGGGGACATGTGATTTCCATCATGTCAATTAGCCTCATAAAGAAATAGCCAATCAAAATTTAGAAAGAACAATTTTTATTTAGCCTATCAATTGACGTAGACATACATCTATATGACCTTATTGATTTTTGATGACAAACGAAACAGTGTGACACGGAAAAATTGACTGACCAATTCTCACCTGTTCATTCGAATTACGTCAATTAGTTGGAGGGAGATTCTCTTTTTTAATCAGTTCGTATATGACTAAACAAGATATTTTTTTGTGAATTTAGTCTACTATGATCAGTACTCTTCAATTATTAGTCAAGAGTAGGGAAGATTGATCTATTTTTTGGAGCTTAAGTATAATTTCCTCTTCAGAATACCTACAAAGGTGATATTTACTCGAATCCTAATGTGATCAGGAAAGTGGATGAATAGTTCAATGGATGGAGTTTTACTCATACAGCCACGATTTCTTATAAATGTTTTCCCTATTATGTAACAAACTGTCGGCTTAACTGGAATTCTACCTCAAGGCATTCTGTTCAAGACAACAAACGTTTTTTCACAGATTGAACTCATGAGTCAGTTGAAGCTAGACCACCATTGAAAACCTGGAAGCACTGGACGGCCGTTTCGTCCTAGTATGGGACTCCTCAGCAGTGCGCATCCACGACCCCGCACCACCCGGGGCTCGAACCCAGGACCTACTGGCTTCGCGCGCGAAACGGCCGTCCAGTGCTTCCAGGTTTTCAATGGTGGTCTAGCTTCAACTGACTCATGAGTTCAATCTGTGAAAATTTCTAAAAATCTCCACAAAACACATTCTGATAACAACAAACGTTGTTGGGGTGATCCAGAAATCTCTTGCAAAAGACAAGCAAGCATCAAGAAACACTAAGAAGTGTTTCGTCCGATCAACGTTCACTTGGAGTCATGGCGAAACGTCACATGCGGAAGCTCTGATTGGTTGGCTACTACAGTGCTACTATGTTTAGTAGCATTGCAGAATATTCCAGCAACCCAAGGACATTTAAAATATTATAAAAACCCTATATTTTCTGTAATAAAATGAACCTGGGAGTAAAGTATTTTCCCTCATACTTGCGTCTTCTCTCTGGTGTTCAAGTCGCTGTGCAGTTCTAGCTTGCGGGTTACCAGAACAGCTTAGGAAACTAATATAGCGTTCAATCGATAAGACTTATCAATTTTATACAAATATAACGTTAACTGATGAAGTACATTAGTGGATTAAGTCAATAGGCATCAGTCACTCTTCATCTCACGTTTCAGTCATGAACTTAGGATGATTGATACACCAAATAGCTGTTAACATTTTTTTACAGCCTATTCGACAGATATTAAAGATTTACGTATCATCGAACGATAACTTATTCAGCAGTATGTTTATCATGTACTTGAGGAAGCAATCTTCTCGATCTAACCGAATATCATTTGGTATATATCACTACTAAAATGCTGACGGAGTAAACTCATAACTGTAATAATAAATATTGGTTTTAACATGGTAAATTCTGATGGAGGATCGATGTTCAGAAAGTTTTTTCAAGTTGTACTTATTATCAAATAAGTGTAAATAAGAAAATTAAATTAGGTCTCGAGTTTATCAGAATTAATAACATTCATCTCTGGGCTCACGGGAATTGAAACCTTTTCAATTAATCGAAATTTCATCATATAATCTCATAGTCAGATAGTATTGAGATACTCTGAATTTTTTTTAATAAACCGTGCTGGGTATATGGGGTTTTCTAACTTGGATACATGATATAGGTGGTTGGAGGTAGTTGACAGGATATACTAGATGTAGGTACAGTGTTATTTGGTGTTCATCAGCTAAGTTTATATGAAATCTTGTGGGAACTGGTGCTCCATGATGAGTTCGAACACTGACCATCCAGATTCACAGTCTAAGATGGTACCAGCGAAATATTCAGGTACGCAAGTGAACTTTCGACTGACCACAGAATAATGATGGATGTCCTTAATGCTGATCAAATTCTATTGAACAAGTTAGATCGTAAAATATTTTGAGGCGTAGTATTTCGTTTGTTTACATCTTAGAAGAACCACAGTAATGAAGACACATGAACTTGACTGGAAAGCCATTAAGCGAAAGTAGGATACTGATTATAGTCATTTTCAAACGAGATCTCATTTTTACTAATAAATATATGAGATTTTATTAAAATACCTAAAGAATTGACAATGAATTCATAATGGTTTAAATTTTAACTTGAACGTTTGTGTAGCTTCACTAACCTGAATAAGACTGTGTTGGTTTTTATGTGACATCCGATGACGTATCAACGACACTTCATAATCACATATTTTATTATTTTATGTTATTTAAGCAGGTGATATTTTTCATTTTCTTGAATAACTATCTGGTTTCATGTTAACTCCAAAGTATTTCTAATGGCGTATGATTGAAGTTGATGAAGACTAGTTGTAGCTCAGGATAAATACGTTGAAGATGTTGTGATCCATCTAGCACAAAGACCACAACAACTCCAACAAAGATCCACTTCACGAAACAGAAAAACATCACTTCATCACCCTAGTAAGCGTTTGTGAGCAAATTTGCATGTCACCTGGTGAATTGACAGTTAATTTGAACTCTAGAGTTAGATCGAAGCAGTTCACTCGATAATATTTAATGACCTATCAAAAAATCTAGTTCACCGGTACTCTACACAACTATCTTAACCAAATACCATCAGTTTAATCAGCGATAGATAGAAATAAACATAATTTCAAAATCTGATAGTTGGAGATGATCGGTAGAAAACATTGAACCTAGGTTTCGTGCGAGTTATGCATATATATGTTCAAGTCACAAAACATACATCGGATACTTTTTATAAATTCCTGATCTAGATGACTTACATGACATAAGGCTACATGTGCATCTTATTTGTTGTTACCGTCATGAATCCATACGGAATTAAAGCAATAAACATTTTAGAAACAAAATGTAGTCCAATTAAACAGTGGAAAAGGTAAGAAAATAATTACATGATTGTATAATGATTTCTAGCGTGATTAATGATCAAATATTAAGTACTTCTAAATGAATACATATATGAAGTTAGGAAATTTTAATAACCTATGGAAATTAAAATTTATCTGAAATTTTATTATCAGTTTAGGGGTTGTGGAGATTGTTAAGTTTTTGGTTGAGATCATGAACTGATTGATGTTAGACCACCACTGAAAACCTGGAAGCACTGGATGGCCGTTTCGTCCTATTGTCGGACTCCTCAGCAGTGCTCATCCACGATCCCGATCGCGGGGTTCAAAACAGGTGTCTACCTCAGTACAATGGAAGATGGTCGCGCAATTTCGTGGATTGGTTGAGGTTAGACATTAACACCAGTGGATGCTGGCTCAGTCGTCTAGTTGGTCAAGCGCCTGGCGCGAGACTGATAGGTTCTGGGTTCGAATCTCGCGGGGTGCGGGGTCGTGGATGCGCTCTGCTGAGGTGTCCCATACCAGGACGGAACGGCCATCCAGTGCTTCCAGGTTTTCCATGGTGATCTAGCTTCAATTGACTCATGATTTCAATCAAAAAAATTTCATTATTTATTGAGTGTTCGGTTGAATTGTTCTATGTCTATATAAGACAGTGTAACACCCAATTCAGTTCTAAGTCTTTATCACGAACTGAAGATATTTAAAAAATAGCAAAAATAAGATTTCCAAAGAGTTATGACCTCATTAACCCCATCGGAATCTCCGCTACATCATGATACAAATGTTTACCTCTGATTAACTTCTTATTTATAAGTATGCCAATGTCTAAGATAACTGATTCTAAACTATTATAGTTTGTAAGCAGTTGAAGAGAACCTAGAGAAATAAAATGAATTCTAAAACAACCATTATTTTTGCCCTCTTCTAGACAATAAAGGGAACTATGTGTATGAACATATTTAAACAGACATTGAAAACTATGACGTTTTGTTCGGCTTTTGCGTGTCAATATGGGACTTCTCAAAAGTGTACATCCATGATTTTACTGAGTACTGAATGCTTTCTCGTTTTCAATGGTTGTGTAACTAAGATTAGTTTGTGATATAAATTATTCTATTCCACAATCTCCACAATCTTTTCATATTCACTTGTAAATATTATTGAATATTCTGAAATAAGTAATGATTCAAACATGAAATCTTTTAATCGAAACCTAAGCCACTACCCCATATTGAAAAATTTACTTATTGCTCAGTTTATGTATATTAAACAAAAAAATAGTTTTTGTACTTGAAAATGGCCTTAAGATCCTGATGATTCGTGTATTCATGTTAAAACTAACGATAAATTATGGGTTTGTACATCAATTGAATCAAAAGGAACTTTCTGGAATTCCCTGAGGTTACAGGCTGGTTGAGTAGCATTCTAAAAATTTCCAGATTCCTGATATACTCTGAGATAATTATTAACGACACGCATGATGTTTTTCATTCCAGCCATTTATGTTATATAAAATTTCAATGCATTAATGTAGTACTACAAAACTCACTTCCAGCAGTAATGTATTATTTGAATCCATGTGTCCATTAGGTGCAAATTGGAAGTAACCTGAAGAAATAATACTCATCCTAATTAGTTTAGAACTTCGACAAGACAATAAAAATTCGAATGTGGAGCAGGCAGTAAGAACTTGTGTTGTTACAGAGACATAACCATGAGACCAAATATTTGATTTTATTGCAAATGTATTAGTTGTTTACCACATATATGTAATCGCCGAACCACTGACACTATTGTCCGGCATCATCAAGACAACCGAGACTTTCAGACATTTGGAAGGATAGCATAAATAGTCAGAACCACAAAACTGCCGCAAACAATCA